TTTGACAAGCTCTCTTACAGTATTTCTAAACTAGAGCAATTGCTTTAATCCATTCCATAATTTCAACAGCTAGTATATTACAAAATGTCAAACTTTATAAGGTGGTAGGAATACTGACAAACTGGAGGGCTATTTAGCCGTTTCCCCTGTACAATAGCATTTTAGGAAAGATATGTGTTTCCCCCACTCATTGGGTAAAAATGGCAAAAGAAATGTATTCATTTTTTCCTTGTTGTATGACTGGGTATTTTTAATTATCTCAAATTCTGCATCCTGCGGTTGGAGCTTAAACCGTAGATTTCATTTGATGCAATCACCTATGTCTCTGTGTACCACGTTTATTAAAGCACATGAAATAATAAAGAAGATGTGCTAGTTTTTAATTTATTATTTGCCTTTTCATTTTGTAATGGAAAGCCAGTCAAATAAAAGTGTATATCATGCACAGTGCTTGGTACAAAGAAAGATTTAATATATGCTTTGTCTTATTTTATCAAAATGTACTTATACATAGGTGAATTAGGTAACTGCCTATATGGTATAATTTAAAGTATGCAAAAAAAAAATGAGCAAATGACTGCATCACGGGTGATCTTAATGAATTTTTTGTTTTCATTGGAATTCCCAAAGAACCTAATTAGTTGGACAGTAAACATGTGTCATTGCCCCTAGAATGCTGCTATTAAGCTGTTATCATCGGTACATGGACATAAATTATATGCTTGAACTGCATGGATGTAGTTCATTAATTGACAATTTGAGCCATGATAAATGGAGGTCCTGGAAAAAATGTTTTTTCGAGGAGAGAGGATAGATACGAGGGTTCAATCTTGAGTTTTTAAAGGAAGAAGAAGAAAGTAGCAAGCCAGAGAGGGTAAGCCCAAATGGTTCAGCTCTCGGTTTTGGGAAATAAATTTAAAAAGGGAAGTATGTTATGCTGGGGCACCAACTTTAGCTTTTTAACAGTCTTCATTAGGCTCAGTCTTCTTGTCCTCAAGTGACTTCTGGAGTCATTAAAGAGGTGAGGAGCTCAGGTCCTTTCTTTGGGCACAGACAACCATCCTGTACTCATATTATGATGCTTCCCTCTACTTTCCATCCTCTCAGCCTTGAAAAGCTAGTACGACTCCAAGAGCATATAGAATGTCAAATTTATGGTGGATGACAGCATATTCAAGAACAATTTTATGCCCTTTTCAAAACTTGAAGACTGCTTTAGAAGGTTGCAAACGTCATGGGACCCACTCTGCAACTTCATGCAATAAATTGATTTGACACCAGTTGTACAGATCATCAGACTAAAAATATATTCCTCGTACTTAGCCTTTCCCAAATAAATCATAGTAAAACCCAACTGTCACAGTCGAGTTGACTTCCAAATAAGCTTAATATAGTAATGAAGAAATACTACATTTTCACTAAAAATTATTTCCTTTCATGTAGTGGCTCCCACATTCCCATTCATTTTCTCCTTTCCATGTGTTTTTTCCCCTTAGATCATAATGGGAGTGATTCTGCTCTATAATTTACTTGGATTAAGCGCATTGGTTGGTGCAGCTGTCATTGTGCTCCTTGCGCCAATTCAGTATTTCATCGCTACAAAGTTGGCAGAGGCTCAGAAGAGCACACTCGTAAGTAACATCTTTTGGAAACTTCATTAGAGAAATCTAGTAATGCTGTTTTATTTTGATAATATAGGAAATTAATACACACCGTTCGGGATAGTTTGGAAATCATTATATTTCATTTCCATTCTTAGGCTGCAAATGTGTATTTACTGGGTTGCAAAAGCAATTTTTAAAAGTGGATTGGAAATTTAAGACTTGATCATAGACTCAAAATACTATAATCACAATACCTGATAATTTAAAGTGCCAGGAGATGATGAGGCTTGGAATCTTTTTCTTAGCTCACTTGTCTAAAGAATGTTCTTAAGTGTACTTTGAGACCATTGAATGTCAGTTACTGACATTGAAGAGGTGGATCAAGGGACAAGTGAAAGGTTAGGTTTGCTGTTTCTGAAATAAAATTTCCCTAGGGTACTCTCAAACCGTTGAGGATCTGTGGAGTTACACTGAAATGTCTTCAGTGGCATTTGGACATGAATATGTTCCTGGTCAACTTGGCAACAAGAATAAGCCCAATTATTGACCCTTTCTGGTTTCAATTTGAAATCGTTTTATTTGAGCAAGAATTGGCTTCTTTTAGAGAAATATTTGCAAATAATAAAATTGTTGACGGCATGCTTAGAAATAAAGTTTGATTACATATGGGCAAGGTTGTCTGTAAATCAGGCATAAAATGTAGAGATGCTGTCGCTGATGGAATTGTTCCTCAAGTTGGTGTCTTCACTGTGACAAGTGAATTACATGTCATGCAAGTGGTTTTTATCACTTGCTTTTCTGCTGCTTCTGGTAAGGTTACTCATTATTTCTGTCTGAGCCATCGACCCTTTTTACTCCAGCACACAAATATAGAAAGGTGTGGAAGAAGAATGTAAGGGGAGATATGACTATCCCCAAACATCTGTCTTTCATTTAGCTGTTCATACCCCATTCATTCACTCATTGAACAATCACCTGGTAGACATTTAGACGCTGTAGCGGAGAGAAGATGAATGCAAATCAGGTCATTTGCTACTTTCACTTTCTCCTGTCTTTCGACCCCTCTACTGCCCCTTTTATTACTTAATAGGTCATACTGCACCTTGCTAGTAATTCTAGTATAATATTTGGTGGTGTTCACTAAACGGTTCACTAAATTGAGGCTTTTGTATCTGCTACAAATCTCTCTACAATTAATCCAAGTTGTTAGTAAATCTAATTTAGGCCTTAAACAAGAGCTTACAAAGGGGTATGTAGAAATCTCTTGAAGTTCAAGAGAATAGGCTTGGTTTCAATAACTATATTATGACAATGCAATGTGAATGCACATAGCACTGTACCCTCACATTCCCAAATAAGAAGCAAACTAACTTTCCTTAAATTCATTGTTATTCTTCTAAGTATGAGTGACAATGTGGAGTGAAGAATGAAATGATTCAGATGTTAGAGGCCATGATAAGTGTCTTTATTTTTTCCTTAAGTTTATGTTTATATTACCTGCAGACATTATTGAAGGAAACCAAGTGAAACTGAAGAAACTGCTATGGAAAGAAATTTTGAGGCCGTGTCATTAAACCCTTCATTTTAAAGTTGAGGAGACTGAGGCACAGAGAGTTTAACTACTTCTCCTGGGAATTTCACAGCCTAATTAGTGGCAGAGCCAATCAGCAATCAAGATCTCCTCAATCTCTGTCCGTCGTATGGTCCTGCCTTTCTGATTCGCTTGGATGAAGCTTGCATTATTTTTTCTTCCTCTGTTTTATAGGATTATTCCACTGAGAGACTGAAGAAAACAAATGAAATATTGAAAGGCATCAAACTTCTAAAGTTGTACGCCTGGGAGCACATTTTCTGCAAAAGTGTGGAGGAAACAAGAATGAAAGAACTGTCTAGTCTCAAAACCTTTGCACTTTATACATCACTATCCAGTAAGTTGTTGTTGCTCTAAGAACAGGTGATGTTATAACAGAACAACCAAAAACCCATGGTCTATTCAGTTTAGATTGTGATCAATGAGACATTCTAGTCATTAAAGGAAGCCCATTTATTCTGTAGACATATGCTATCCCATAGCCACTAGCCACATGATGTTTGTTGACATTTAAATTAAAGACCAGAGTAAGCACAGGTTTAGAGTTGAA